AGCTCTTAACCAATGAGTCATCTTTTCAGCCCCTGTGAGTAAACACTCTTTTAGAGAAGGGAAATGGGACAAGAAATCGGGCTGAGGAGGATTGGCAGATTCAAGGATGTGTATTCACGGACAGTCTCATTTTTATTCTGATTCTCCAATTCTTTCCTGCCTCTGTCCCCCCTCCCTTTCTCCCTCTCTCCCTCTCCCCTCTCCCCCTCCCTCCCGCCCTCCCCCCTCTCTCCCTCTCCTCTCTCCCTCTCCCCCTCTCCCTCTCTTTGACAATGTCTCACTAGCTTAGGCCTCAAACTCACACTACTCTGGTCTTAGCCTCCCAAGTGCTAAGATTTCAGATGTGTGCTACCAAATATGTGAGTGAGAACAGGACATAGGGACCCCTCTGACCAAGACACATAAATCTCACAAATACTCACAAGCCTAAATGTCACATAAAAGACGTGACAGTTCCTGGGGACCCCTCTAGGCTTCCCTGGAGCCAAGAAAAGAACAGTATCTCTTTTAGGAGGACAGGCTGTGGCCACAGAACAATGAGGTCAGCTTGCCAGCCCCCAGCCAGACTCTGCCATGAAGGACAGAACTCAGCTTTGCCCCTCAGAATGACCCACTCAGGAATTTGTTCAAATCAGTGTGTTTTCCCTTTTTTTCTTCTCATTTATAAGGAAAGAAATTTATCCAGATGATGCCGACGGATTCCTTCCTCATTAACAATCTCTTTTCGGTGCTTAGAAACAGTCTTTGCACATGCTGACACCAACAGTCTATTTATTCATGTGTTTATTTAGCAGCAGTGGGGATGGAATCCAGGCCTTCACTCATCTGAGGCAAGCATTCTCTCTATGGTTATACCCCCAGCCCATGGCAGTCCATTTATAATTATAAAATAATACTTCTGTAGCTAAACAGATACAACTGGGAAAAGTATACTGTGGCAACCCAGCTACAGGAAAATACATAGCAATGATCTCCTTCATATGTGGGTCATAGCTGAATATCTCTGACTTTGTGTGTTCGATTTACAGTTGATTTACAGCGAAGGCCAGACATCTAGAAAGAGGTCATTAGGAGGGGATTCGTTAAGAAAAGGTGGACAGTAGATCTAGTCAATACGAGAAAGTAGAAGGAGAAATTCCAGGGGTGGAGAGGGGAGGGGTAAAGAGGAAAGAGGGAGGGGTAAATAGGAAAGGGGGAGGGGAAAGTAGAAAAGGGGAAGGGGAAGTAGGAAAGGGGGAGGGGGAAGTAGGAAAGGGGGAGGGGGAAGTAGGAAAGGGGGAGGGGAAAGTAGGAA